ACATCACCGCCGCCCTCGTCGGATGAGGAACCCTCCAGGGTCTGATGCTCCTGGGCGCATTCCTTCGCGACCGCCCCCACCGTATGCACACACGAGATCTACAAAATAGAGTAAGACAGTTTTATGTATACATATATATATATATAGAGATAACAAAAAAAGAAACAGTAGAGGGCAGGCGTGGAGTGCACGCGACAACTCCAGGAAAGCCACTGGTTGTGCTTTTCCTGGTGTGCACGTCGTTCATTTCTGACCGTGCTCGTGTCTACGTGTGCCCGTTTTTCTAACTGTTCCTGGCCCCCAGTGGCCAGGAAGAGGCCCAGGATAGAACAATTAGAAATGAGAGGATGTTGGCCCCCCAGCAAAAATCAAAGAACTCTCGAAGAATGAGAAATGAACAATGCGTAGTATCTTTCCCTTGTCTTCTGTCCTCGGCGCTATCAAGCTCGTCCCCGTCCCCCTCTCCCGTCCCCAGGTCATGTCCCTCCCAGGTCGACCTCCTCGCCTGAAGCATCCGAAATCTGGGCCTGGCCTTCCAATCCTCGTAGCCCTGGTGTTCCTTCCTCCAACTACCTGCTCCCCGCTCGATACGGCAAGGGAATCACCACAGAGCCGCTACATTTCACACTGGAAGCATGACCTGCGCAGCCTACAACGGCCGTGACACCTTGACACATAGGAGGCAAGGATGCAGCGTGAATAAACCTCTCCCAGATCACAACGAGGATCAATTGTCCAAGGGCCTCATTGAAGACGGCGACGTGGCCAAGTCGCCCATCTGGAATCGTGCCTCCGGCTGTCATGATTGACCATTCGCCGCTAATCTCACCATTCGTGATGCTGTCGCTGGAGACGGTGTACGAATACACGTCAGTCGGCCATGCGAACGACTCCGTAACGCCGCCGAACAACAATAGCTTGTAGTCGGCCTGGAGAACCGCGCAAAAATTCCCCACACTCTACAAACTCCCGCTGGACACGTGCTGTCATAGTTTCTCACCCGCGCGTGGTCTCCAGCGTCTGGTCAATTTCTGTGGCACGGAAAAGAAAAAACTGAAGCCGGGAATGCACACTGGCCCGCCTCGCCGCGGCCATGATGTTCCCAGCAACGTGCGTGCCCGTATGGACTCCTAGTGCGTTCGGTAAGGTCGGACGGGCGTGGCGCGGTTTCGCCTGATGGGCGCACGTTGGCGCCTCGTGGGCGCCCCCGCGCGCTGGGCGGGCGTGGCGCGGTTTCGCCTGGTGGGCAGCCGTGGGCGCCTCGCGGGCGTCCCATGCAGTGGGCGGGCGTGGCGAGGTTTCGCCTGGTGGACGGCCGTGGGCGCCTCATAGTTTTACTCATAGTGGACGGCCGGCGTCGTCGTCGTCGCCGAAGTCGTCGGAGACGTCGTCGGTGTCGTCGTAGTCGTTGTCGTCGGTGTCGTCGTAGTCGGTCTTGAGAGGTTTTGCAAACCAAGTTGCGGGTGGGTGGGTGGGATGCTTGCAAGAGCGTGGGATGTGTCAAATCATGGGTACAAAATCATGTCATCCTTATAGTTTGCACCTCATAGCTTTCACTGCGTAGCTTGCACAGCAGATGTCACACTACATCGGTTGCACCACCTGGCTTGCACTACATAGCTTGCACCACACAGCTTACACCAGGCAGCTCTCACCGCATACCCTGCACAGCCTTAATGCGATGACTCCCTGCTTGATGCCCACGCTGGCAAACATGCGCTTGAAAAAACATTACATACGTGTGCCTGAACAGCTTGTCGCTTTGCTTAGGCTCTGCCCTCGATGGCCTCTCGAGCGGAAACTGTCCTAGCGCACCCACCGTATGCCATTGCAAGGGGCAAGGGTGGCCCTTGAATCCATAGCTTCCCCATGTCTGGAAAGATTGAGCAATTCTTTCCTGCGATCACGATGAACTACTATGAAACGGAACATAAAAAAGGCAGACCCCCCTACTGGGAAACCTGGACAACACCTCCAATCTTAGAAACCGAGCATGCCAGCATGTGACTGCTGCCAGAGATTGGACGGGCGCACCATTCTCAAATCAGGACGTGGCCGGCGCTCGCGCAGCAACACCGTCCCCAACTAAAGGATCTGTCCAGCGACGAGGCGAGAGCGCCTCTCCCCACCAAGGATTTGGTCGCCGCGCACGCGACGGCACCGATCATGATTGGGAATGTGGCCATCGCTCGCCCGTCGCTCGGGTCCGAAGAGGTAGGTAAGCACACGAAGTAGGAAGGCGGATATAGTAGGTTGGGTTCAGCCCCCCCACACACAATAATAACACACGGCAAGAGCATCTTGATTCTGGGGGTATGCAGGCGCTGGAAGTGGATGGGGATCCGGGAAATCCAGAAGTGCCCGCTTTCAACGACCGGCGTGTACGCCAAAACACCGGCTCCCCAAATGGGCTGTGGTCGGCGCCCGAGCGGCAGCACCAGACCCAGGTCAGGCATGGGACCAGCGCTGAGGCGGGCTCTCGCTCTCCCTCTCTCCCTCTCTCTCTCTCTCTGTCTGCCTCTCGCCGACAATCCTCCTCCTCCTCCTCCTCCTCCTCCTCCTCCTCCTCCTCCTCCTCCTCCCTCCTCCCTCCTCCCTCCTCTCTCCTCCTCCGCCTCCTCCTCCTCTCTCCTCCTCCGCCTCCTCCTCCTCCTCCTCTCCTCTCCTCTCCTCTCCTCCTCCTCCTTCCTCCTCCTCCCTCCTCCTGCTCCTCCTCCTTCTCCTCCTCCTCCTCCCCTCCTCCTCCTAAGAGGTAGCATCGGCAAGACTCCACGAGTTATTCATTCATTAATTCTCTCTGTGTCTCTCTCTCTCTCTCTCTCTTTCTTCACATTTCAGGCCCGTCAGAATCCAGACGGAACAATGATCAACTGATCAACGCGTCGAGAGTGGCCCTTCCCCCCCGCACCCCGCCTTCACACAAATAACTATCACGCATCCGAACAGCCCACAAGGGCCCCCCCCTGGACAACCTTCATGGACATCAGGCAAGCCTTGGAAATATACAAGTCGCCCGCAAAATTGCGGAAAACACTCAAAGCGTTCCGGAGCGCTCTGGAAAAATCGCGGCTCTCGATACGGTCTCCAAGCCCGCAAGCTCTCAGAGATTTCCAACTCATCTCGCTCCGATTGCACGATCGTCCTGGCTTCGTCCGATGGGCATTCCTTCCCGGGTTGTTGTCAAAAGACATGGGAGCACACATTCAGCTGGGAGTGCTGAACTTTCTGGCTGCCAGAAGGAAATGTGTGGGCACACGTTGTCCGAAAACGGCGGCGGAGAGCAGCAAGGAGATGCGCCAAAGGTCCTCCCACAAGACCATCGTGGGGAACTGAGCTGCGACCGGGACAGCGCCGTTCTGTGGGCAGCTTGCCCATTGGCTCTCCAAGATCTTGTAGATGTAGAGGTCGTCGTGTATAAACGTATCTGAAGCCCTGTACCCACCGTATATGAACATCGCAGCCTCGGGCAACAGGCACGGATGCATCACGAATGGCGCAATCGCTTCCACGATCTGGTCGCAGCACTGCTGACAAAAAGCATGCAGCTCGGCCGTAGCACATGCAGCATGCACTCGACACGAACAAGAGGCATGTGCAAAACCAGCGTGGGGCACATATCAAATACGAATCGCGTAGGCGCCAAGTGTGCATAAAATCGAGCAGGCGAGCGTCACGTCCCTCCTCCTGCTCTGATGTGTTTTCTCCTCTCCCCCTCTCATCTCCCTGCCCACCCCGCTTCCATAATTCCCCTCCCATCGTGAAGACGCGCCCCGGTGCAGGAGGAGGAGGAGGAGGAGGAACAGCAAACACGCGAGGCGCAATACTTGGAAAGGGACCATGCAGAGGATCGGCAGGCAACAGGAGACAAACTTGAGCAGAAAAGAGTGGAAGATAAGAATCACGAAATAAAGAGGAGGACAGACGAATTGGTATAAGATGTACCTGTTGAGTGAGGCACCCGGTGGAGTTGATAAAAACGGGGGAAGGGGGAGGGCGAGATTGTAAGAAACGTGATTTGGGCGAAAAAGATACGGATTCTCTAAGCTGGCTGGAACGACACACTCTGATGACCCATCGCCTGAGTTTGCGCCGTGTCAGAACAACTGATACGACTGCCGATGCACACCCCTCTTTCCGTTTTCCTCTTCCGTGATTTGAGCGATTTCTCGTCCACTCCTAGCCGTGCTGCTGGTGATGGCGCTTCCGCTGCTGCTGCTGCTCACGTTGCTGGTTCTCGTTGCGTTAACATTCGTCATCAAACTCCCTGTCCATGTTGACGTTCGTTCCTGTTTTCCCTTCGTTCCTGTTCCTCCGCCTCCTCTCCGCGACCCCACTTTGAGTAATTAGTTCACCATCAAGATGTTTGTAATTCTCCTTCGGATCCAGTTTCTGTCAGTAGTTACCCGTTTTAATCCTGCACGGATTGATCAGATTCGCTCCTTCTCCTCCCATTCAATTTTGCTATGTTGCCACATGCTGTCCATATGGTTTCAATTATCATGTTATCTCGTTTCTTATAGAATCGCATGTCCACATGTTCTATAGTTTTTTCCAGAGTCACTCCCATGGTCTTTGGCGCTTTAGACACCACGCCCAGCGTCCCTCCATGACCGTCCCGAAACAACCCCCGACTTACAAGTCGCGAAACCACGAGACACAAACTCAAGTTTCAGCAAGGAGCCGCAGAAAGACGGCATGCGAACATGCAACACCTAACACGCAGCGCACAAGCTCAGCGCCAACACCACATGCAACACAGAAGAGCCATACATTGCTGCTTCTCGAGGCATGGCCGTTGGCGCTCTGACGCCACACCCACCCCGAACCTCCCCACAGTGATCCCGACTCGCACGTGGAATATCCGAATCTCGAGCTGAAGCAACAAAACTCAACGCGAAACCAACGTGCAATGCACCAAACATCGGAAACGTAAAGTAGATGTGCAACGCAAGCACAACATTGACTCGCGTCATGGCTGTTGGCGTTTTGACGCTGCACTCTCCCTGAACGTGCCAAAAACACGCCCGACTCACACGCGCAATCCTGTGCTGTAAAGAAGCGACACAAAACATAGCAACGAATACATGCAGCGCAATGAACCACTACTATACAAAAGGAAACGCTGCCCCAGTCAGCGACGCAAGGCATCTCATCTCTATCGTGGAGAGCTCCGCTCTGGATTCTGGCATGCGGAAAAGCGCGACGCCCCCATCCGTGCACGTGTGCCGCGTTGCCGTGATGCCGTGCCGCGAGCGCGCGGTGGATGAGTTGCGGCGGGCGCGAAGACCGCGCCGCCCGCGTGCCGCGCCCGTGCCGTGCCCGTGCCGTGGTGCCGCGGTGCCGCGTCGTGCGCGCCGCGCCTGCGTGCTGGCCTGTGGAGAAAAAAAACGTGCCACCCGTGCGACGTGCCCGTGCGACGTGCCCGTGCCGTGCCCGTGCGCTGCCCGTGCGGCGCGCCGCCGAAGCGGTCTTGGAAAATCTGAAGGCGGGGCCCCGCGCCCGCGTGCCGTGCCGCCGTGCCGTGTCGTGCGCGCCGTGCCGCCGTGCCGTGCGGTGCGCGTGCCGCGTCCGTGTGTCGTGGGGCGTTCTCGCCGTGCCGCGCGCGCGCACGCTGCCGAGTTTCGGAAGCCGGGCGAGGGCTGGCAAAGCCGTGGCTGCTAAACAAAGGTGCCCCCGGAAGAGAGAAAGACAAACTCCTGGAATAAAGCTCGACGCGCTAAAAATAGTAAACGGGCTGCTGCTCGGAAGAACGAGACACATTCCCGGAGCTCCGTTTTAGCAGCCACGGGTTTGCCAGCCTTCCCCCGGCTGCTGAGAGTTCTGGGGCGTGAAGAAACGCACCGCCCGCGTGCCGTGGCGGCGCATGGGGCCGCGCGTGCCGTGCCGTCGTGGAGTGCCGTGCGTGCGCAGTGCCTGGCTTCGGCGATCCAGAGGGCGAGAGGATTGCCACCGACGTGCCGCGCCGTGCCGTGCCGTGGCCGAGGGCCTCGTCATGCAGTGCCATGCTTGGCTGCGGAAGTACTGCAACACGAAAACACCGTGCCGCGCCGTGCCCGTGCTGCGCGTGCTGCGCGTGGTCGGTGTCGAGAGATTGAAAAAGGACGTGCAGTGCCGTGCTGCGCTCTGCCGTGCCCGCATGCCTTGCCGCAGCTGCTTCCTCGAATGCGAACAATACAAAAAAAAACAACAGCAACAGCAACAACAACCACAACAACAACCACAGCAACAACACCACCACCACAACAACAACAACAACAACAACAACAGCAGCAGCAGCAGCAGCAGCAGCAGCAACAACAACAACAACAACAAAAAGGTCGTGCCGTGCCGTGACCTGCCCGCGGCCCATGTGGATGCGAAGCCATGGCGGCGCGCCGTGCCGTGCCCGCGTCTCGTGCCGTGCGGCGCCGTGCTTTGGATTTGGAGTTCAACAAGTTGCCGTCACGTGCCGTGCCTGGCCTTCACGACGGGCCTGTTTTCCACCACCGCCACCAGAAGCTGGAGGGGGAGAGGGTCCTGCTCCTCCTCCTCGGCCTGCTCCTCCTCGTCCTCCTCTTCGTCCTCCTCCTCCTGCTCCTCGTCCTCCACCTCCTTCCTCCCCCCTACTCAGCGCCAGGAGGTCGATGTCCGCGCTGGCGTAGTGCACGATCCACTCGAGGGCTGCGCGCCAGCGCGGCGGCAGCCGCATCCTGCCACACTGCCGCCGCACGCTCCGAAACGGAGCCGATCGGGACTGGGAGGCGACAGGCCGAGCGGCCTCCCTCCGCGGGGCAGGCCAGCGTGCACCGCGCCGCTCGGGCACCGCGCCGCTCGGGCGAGGCGCTCGCAGCGCTGGCAGCAGCGCCCGAGAGGAGCAGATGCCGTCGCCCCCGCGCTGCCGCTCCGGCGGCACGCGCACGTCGCGCGCAAGGCCCCCTGGCGCGCGGCTCGACCGTATCCGCACCCGCGCCCTCGCGGCCTCGATTCCGGGGCGCGACCCCGCGGCCACGGGGCCGCGCCGGGGGCATCCGCGAAAAGACGCCCCGCACCCGCGGGGTCGCGGCCCGGCGGCCCAGGCCGCGAGGCCGCGGGTGCTGCCTGGCGCGCGGCTCGAAGAGCCCGCGGCCACCGTCCAGGAGGGCTCGGCCTGCCCCCCCCCCCCTTCCGCCTGCACGGCCAGCGGCAGAGGCAGCGCCGCGAGCGAGCCCCGCCGGCGCGCCCCGCAGCTCTGCTGGCTGCTCCGACCAGGGATCCCCGGGCCAGGCGAGATACAGTCGGAGCGTTGACCCAAGGAACCCTAAATAAGAAACGAGGCCCCTTTCATCCACAAGAAACGAAGGAAAACCCAAGGCAAACTGTGAAGCAATCAAGGAACACGGAGCCCCTCCCCAACGAAAAGGCTTCCTTCTTCAGGGCCCCGACTGTACAGCAGGGGCCCGACCACAAGAAACCTCCCACAAGAAGCCCGACCCTGAGACCCCAGGATGTCCATTGGCTCCTGGTGCGGGGACGTCGCGCTGTCCGTCGCAGAGCCGTCGCGGCACCCAAGAAGCCCAGGGCACCCTGGAGGCAAGCAGGGTGCTCCTTGGCATGGGCCCCCCACTGTAAGAAGGACAGCCAGGAGGGCGGGCAGCGCATCAGCTCGCGCGGCAGACCTTCCCGGCGCCGCCCGGTGCCGGGGGCGACCCTGTATGAAGGGAAGTGCTCGGCGGCGGGGGCGTCGTCGTCGTCGTCGTCGTCGTCGTCGTCGTCGTCGTCGTCGTGGTGGTGGTGGTGGTGGTGGTGGTGGTGGTGGTGGTGGTGGTGGTGGTGGTGGTGGTGGTGGTGGTCGTCGTCGTCGTCGTCGTCGTCGTCGTCGCGGTCGTCGTCGTCGTCGTGGTCGTCGTCGTCGTGGTCGTCGTCGTCGTCGTCGTGCCCCTGCCTTCCCTGGTCTCCTCCCTTCGTCCAGCCCGAAGAGTTATCGGTCTTGGTCTGAGCAATGGCCTCCTCGCACGTGGCCGCTGCCGTGTCCGGTGGGCCCAACTCGCGCAGAGGAGACTGGGCATCAAGGGGCGAGGCGCCCCTTGACGATCAGGAGGGGGCGGCGGAGGAGGCGGCGGCGGAGGAGGCCGGGGCTGTTCTGGCGCGCCCCGCGTTCCCCGCGGCGCAGGTCGCCGACGGGCCCCCTGCTGTGGGCTGCGCAGCGACAGCCGCCTCGCGGCGACGAGCTGCGCGGGGCGACCCCCACGTGGACCACGGACCAGGACCTCTGGTTCTCGGCGGCGGGCGAGGGGGGGAAGGGAGGAGAAGAAGGCCCTCTCAGGAGCTGGCGGGGCCCCGGGGCTTCTCAGAAGCCCTCGTGCCTTCTGAAGAGTTTTTGTTGGGTGTCTTCGGGGAAGGCTTCGAAAACTGTTCAGAAGGCCAGGGGATTCCCGAGCCTTCTGAGAAGGCCCGCCCCTTACCACTTCCCCCCCCAGGCTCGCCGCCGAGATTCGGCTTCGACACTCCTGATCTCCTGCTTGGAGCCGCTGTCGCGGCAGTCGGTCCTGACCAGGCCCGCAGCCTCACCCCATACCGCAAGCCTAGGAAAGGAAATCCACGTCGACGCCACAAGGGGTGCATGGCCCTCTTTGTCCACGGCGTCGCACCGAGATTTGCCGTCCGGGTGATTGGCCATGACTTCGGGAAGTAATCCTGCAATTCTACACCTGCAAGCACGTGCCCCTCGCCTGCCTCTGCGCCTCCCTGCTGCTGCACCGGCTCAGCCGTGGCCTCACCCTGTGCAAGACCTCACGGGGCTGATGCTTCATCGAGTGGGCGCCATGCGGCTGCAGAAGAGACGGATGCAGAGAAAGGCGACGGCGGAACGAGGAGGTGGAGCGTGTCTCTGAGCCCCGGGCCGAGGCGTTGTGCAGCGCGGACGCCGCGCCCTCGAGCGACCCGGGCGATGTCCCCGTGGACTGCGCACGCCGGGGGGGAGCGGGGCGAGGGAGAGAGCAGGCGGCGAGACGGCACGCTCAAAGAAAAGACATGGACGTCCACCACAGGGGGAGCTCGCCCCATAGGTCCCTGGGCTCGGCGGCGAGCGAAGGGGGGAAAGGGAAGAGGAGAAGAGCCCTCTCGGCACGCGGCTGGACTTCTCAGGAGCCCTCCGGCCTCCTGGGAAGTGTTCTGTCGTCGGGGAAGCCCGAGGACACTTCTCGAGAGTTGCCAGAAGTGCCCCTGGGCCAAGGTGCCCCCCAGGATTTCCGGGGTAGCCCAAACGGCCTCCAAAGCACCCCTCACGAGGCCCAGAGGGCCCCAGGGGCTCCGAAATGGAGCGAAATGCTGGGGGCACCTTGGGCCAGGGGTACCTCTAGCAGCACCCGAACTTCTCCGAGAGCCCGGGCGCCTTCCGAGCCTTCCGAGAAGGCCCAGATCCCTTCCCACTGCCCCCCTATAGAGGCCCGCCGCCGCTGGGCAGCGATCGGAGTTTGACGTCTTTCCCCGCCCGCGGGGGAGGGCAGACACCCATGGTGGGCCTGCTTTCCACCACCACCACCACCAGAAGTAGGAGGGGGAGGGGGTCCTCCTCCTCCTCCTCCTCCTCCTCCTCCTCCTCCTCCTCCTTCCCCCCTCCCCCTTGTGGTGGTGGTGGTGGTGGAAGACAGGCCCCTCGCGGACGTCCGCCTCCACCGCTCCACTGCGGGCTCGGGGCACGGCCTCGACGCAGCGGGCGTGGCCGTGCTGCTGCGCTGGAGGAGGGCGCCGCGCCCCGGGCGGGGATCCCGAGGGCTGCTGGGGTGTCGAGGAGCGCGCGCCCCGGGTGTCTCGCAGGCGCCGGGCCCGCCCTGCGCGTGCGTCCGCCCCCCTGCCAGGGACAGGGGTTGGGGACAGGGGGTTGAGGGGGGCAATACAGGGCAGTTTTGAATACATAGGATTTTGGTTTAATATAGGATTTGAATACATGATCAATGTATGAATAAATGTATGCACGAACTCACCGTTGTTTTCAATACTAAATCCCCGCATGTTTAATACATGCTCCGCACGCGGAGCATGTATTAAAAACGGCACTGCACGGTGTGGGCATTGGATGAGGGCACCTTCGATAAGGAATCCAGGGTCTGGAGGCCAGTGGGACTCCAATCGTGGATTGGCCAGGGGTATCACCGCCGCCCTTATCAGATAAGGAAGCCCCCAGGGTCTGAAGCCTCATGAGCGCAACACCCCCACCCTATCTTGAAGCAAGTCCATCTTCCCTGCCTTTTCTCGCACGAAGGAAACGGGTCCTGGGAAAAAGGTCCTGGACTTCTCCCAGCCATCCTGTGGGACTGGGTCGTCGTTTTGAGTACGCATCGCCCCGCTTCCACCTTCAGACTTCCTTAACCTTCAGCCTCCTGCTCATCATCGTCATCATCAGCATCATCAACAACAGCATCATCAACAACATCATCAACACCACAACCACCATCACCATCATCATCAGCAGCAACCTCATAATCATCATCATGATCATCATTATTATCATCCTCATCATAATCAGAATCCGCATCATCATCCGCATCATCATCATCATCATCATCATCATCATCATCATCATCATCATCATCATCATCATCATCATCATCGTCATCATCATCATCAGTGTCATCATCATCATCATCATCATCATCAATATCACCACCATCATCGTCATCATCATCATCAACATCATCATCATCATCATCATCATCATCATCATCATCATCATCAGCATCATCAATTGCATGTCGGCCAGCACCTCACACGTTTCCGTTTCATGATCCCATAAGGAGCTCCACCGAAGGCAGCAGTGGCAGGGCATGCGTTACTGAGCCAACTTCGGCACACACACACACACACCTCACACGCTTCGTGGCTCCATAAAGCTCCAGGCCCCCATGGCAAGGCAGAAATCGCCTGCGTACCGCGCCGATGTTGGCGCACCCCTCACACGCTTCGTGGCCCAATAGGGAGCTCAACCGAACGCGCCACTGGCAAGCATCGCATGCGTGACCGTGCCCATGTCGGCAGACCCCTCACACGCTTCGCTGCCCCAGGGGAGGCTCCATCGCTAGCCCCAGATGAAGGAGCCGCATGCGTGACAGCGCCAATTTTGTTATTCCCCTCACGCGTTTCGTGGACCTCCAGAGAGCTCCACGCAAGGTCCCAGTGGCAAGAATCGCATGCGTGGCCGCGCCCGTTTCGACACACACACACACACACACACACACACACACACACACACACACACACACACACACACACACACACACACACACACACACACAACTCACACGCTTCGCGGACCCCGCAGAGAGTTCCACCGAATTCCCCAGTGGCAGGAATCGCATGCGTGACCGCGTTCATTTCGGCACAGCCCTCACACACTTCGTGGCCTCAAGAGGAGCTCCACTGAAGGCCCCCGTGGCAAGAATCGCCTGCGTGACCGCGCCCAGGCCTGCACGCATCTCACGCGCTTCGTGGCCCCAGTGGGAGCTCGACCGAAGGTCCCAGTGGCAAGAATCGCATGCGTGGCCGCGCCCGTTTCGACACACACACACACAACTCACACGCTTCGCGGACCCCACAGAGAGTTCCACCGAATTCCCCAGTGGCAGGAATCGCATGCGTGACCGCGTTCATTTCGGCACAGCCCTCACACACTTCGTGGCCTCAAGAGGAGCTCCACTGAAGGCCCCCGTGGCAAGAATCGCCTGCGTGACCGCGCCCAGGCCTGCACGCATCTCACGCGCTTCGTGGCCCCAGTGGGAGCTCGACCGAAGGTCCAAATGGCAAGAATCGCATGCGTGGCCGCGCCCGTTTCGACACACACACACACAACTCACACGCTTCGCGGACCCCGCAGAGAGTTCCACCGAATTCCCCAGTGGCAGGAATCGCATGCGTGACCGCGTTCATTTCGGCACAGCCCTCACACACTTCGTGGCCTCAAGAGGAGCTCCACTGAAGGCCCCCGTGGCAAGAATCGCCTGCGTGACCGCGCCCAGGCCTGCACGCATCTCACGCGCTTCGTGGCCCCAGTGGGAGCTCGACCGAAGGTCCCAGTGGCAAGAATCGCAAGCGTGACCGCGTCCATTTCGGCACACCACTGACACGTGTAACCCCAGGAAGCATTTAAGAAACCCCCCGGCGATATCTTAGCACCGCATTTTTATTCGATATTCCGAGGGGCCGAAATAACCGCACGATAGGTTTAGCACCCAGACACACAACAAATTCGCGGAGGCCTGGCCCCTGGGCTACAATCGAAATTCGAAATTCAAATCTGCGTGGCTCTCATGAAAGACTCCTGCTCGTCTCCTCCTCCTCCTCAGGAGAAGGCCCAGAGGGGAAACCCCAGGTGACTTGGGCCCTGACAGGCCTTGGGCCCCGAGGGAAGGAGGGGGGCGCGGGAGGAGGAGGAGGAGGAGGAGGAGGAGGAGGAGGAGGAGGAGGAGGAGGAGGGGGCAGGAGGAAGTTCGTGGGTGGAGGAGAGGAGGAGGAGGAGGAGGAGGAGGAGGAGGAGGAGGAGGAGGAGGAGGAGGAGGAGGAGGGCTCCTGGTGCCAGGTAACGCTTCCAGGGTGCGGAAGGGTTATCGATTTGCCGGAAGGGGGGGGGGGGGGGTTCTTAAATGCTTCCTGGGGTTACTGGCCTCATGGGGCGCTCCACCGAAGGCCCCGCCGCCTGCTGCCCCCAAGGACCGCGCTGACAGACGCGTAAATCAGCAGTAGCGGGTTACATCCAAATACAAGCCGTCGCGGCCGACCACTGCGACCAGATCAGCAACGTCGCTCCGCCCTTCTCAAGCACGCCCTAGTCCTCCTGCTAGCCCCCAGCCTCAATTTCCATCTTTGTCCCAACCATCCTGTGGTGTTGGGTCCCCGTTTTGGAGAGACAGTCCCCGCGATCCTTCTTCATCCGCCCCCTGCTCCCTCCACCGACCGCATGCGTCCGCGACGCCCAGTGCAGCGTTTCGTGACCCCATACGGGGGCTCCACCGAAGGCTCCAATGGCGGTGCCCACATGCGTCCGCGCCACCCGTGCCGGCGCACCCCTCACACGCTTCGTGGTCTCATAGATGGCTCCACCGAAGGCTCCCGTGGCGGTGCCCACATGCGTGCGCGCCAACCGTTTCGGCAAGCCCCTCACACGCTTCTTGGCCTCATAGAGAGTTCCACCGAAGGCTCCAATGGCGGTGCCCACACGCGTCCGCGCCACCCATTTCGGCATACTCCTTACGTTTCGTGGCCTCATAGAGAGTTCCACCGAAGGCCCGAGCGGCGGTGCCCACACGCGTCCGCGCCACCAATTTCGGCACACCCTCACACAATTCGTGGCCCCATAAGGGGGCTCCACCGAAAGCCCCCGTGGCGTTGCCCACATGCGTCCGCGCCATCCATTTCGGCCGAACCCCTTACACGCCGCGTGGCCCCCCCAGAGAGTTCCACCGAAGGCCCCGTGTGGCGGTGCTCACATGCGTCCGCGCCATCCATTTCGGCCAAACCCCTTACAAGCCGCGTGGACCCCCCAGAGAGTTCCACCGAAGGCCCCCTGTGGCGGTGCCCACATGCGCCCGCGCCACCCGAGGCGGCACACCCCTCACACGCTTCGTGGCCCCATAAGATGGCTCCACCGAAGGCTCGAATGGCGGTGCCCACATGCGCCCGCGCCACACGTTTCGGCACACCCCTCACACGCTTCGTGGCGTCATAGAGAGATCCACCGAAGGCCCGAGTGGCGGTGCCCACATGCATCCGCGCCACCCATTTCGGCACACCCCTCAACCCTTTCGTGGCCCCATAGGGAACTCCACCGAATGCCCGAGCGGCGGTGCCCACATGCGTCCGCGCCACCAATTTCGGCACACCCTTCACACAATTCGTGGCCCCATAAGGGGGCTCCGCCGAAGGCACCAATGACGGTGTCCACATGCATCCGCGCCACCCATTTTGGTACACCTCTCACACGTTGCGTGGCCCCACAAGGATCGCCACCGAAGTCGATGCTCACAGCTGCGGCACCCACAGCTGCATATGGTTGGGTACTTCGCCATGCTAACGTCAGACACTCACAGCTGCATACACTCCAAAAGGGATGCGCGACAAAAGGGTACCAGGGCCTTGGAAGGCCGGCCCGAAGCTATTCGAGCGGGGCTGGCCATCGAACGTGCTCAAGGGTGGACCGAAGAGGCACGGATGCAAGTGTACCCTTAAGTCGGGCCTGTCCCCCTACAGGGGGATTTTCGACGAAAAATAAAAATACCCCAAACATAGTCCAAAAATAATCCAGAAATGGTCTGGGGACTCTTGTCGGAATAATACTGTTTGATCTGTTTGGGGTTCTTTGTGAGGTATGTTTCATTAGTCGTCGAAAATCCCCCTGTAGGGGGACACGCCCGACATAAGTGTACGCCGGGAACGACGCTCTTCCTCACCATGGGTGTCGACGGTATGGCTGCGTCCTGCGGCAGGCTGGCACGGCTGTGTTTCCCTTCGGGGCCCCCCGCGGGCCCCCGCGGGCCCTCGGACGGCTCGGAGGCACTCGGGGTGAAGGGGCGGCCCGGGGCAAGCTCCAGGGCCTGTAGAGGGAGAAACTGCATGCTGTAAACGTACACGTCGTTCCTTTCTGATCGTGCTCACTTCGACTTGTGCTCGTTTCTAGTGGCTCCTGGCCCCCAACCAGTGGCCAGGAAGAGGCCCAGGATAGAACAATCAGAAATGAGAGGATCTTGCCCCCCCAGACAAGCAAAGAGCTCTCGAATACTTAGACATCAGTCATGTGTACCGAGGGAGAGCATGTACTTTATAAACACAAGCTTTCGGAGCTCCGCGCGGATTTCCTGGATCGGCCCGGGGCCCCCCTCACCAGCGCGGAGTGCGCCAGGGGCGGCGGCGGAGGCGCCGCCAAGGGGGGGGGGGGGCCACGAAGATCTCTGGAGGTCTATGCTTACGCTTTTTGCTCTACCTCTGCTCCAGCACCCGTTTCCCTCGGGGCCCCGCTTCCTCAATGGTGGCTCTGGCTGGCGGCTCGACCAAGTCGTCCCGGGGGTTCTTCGCTACTGGCGGCTTCCGTCACATACCCATCGGTCGGATGAAGTAGGTAGAAACATGAAGTAGGAAGGCGCTGAAAGTAGATTGGGTTCCGTCCGCCCCCTAAGGAGGAAGGAAGAGGTGAAGCCACTCGATCATTGAAGCAGGAAGGCGCTGAAAGTAGATTGGGATCTGGGAATCCACAGATTCCTCCTTTCAGCGGCCGATGGGTAATGGCCTGGGACAGAGGACCAGTCCCTGGAAGGGGTCGGAGGGTCCAGAGGACGGTGGCTCGAGGAGGTCTGGACCCCTGCGAAAGGCAGCAGGAACAGTGGATTGGGCAACCGATGGGCGTGCTCCCAGGAGCAACGGTCCGCGCAGCTGCACGCTCTGGTCTTTCGGGACACGCTCTGCTTCACCGAGACCATGTGTATGCACACCGTGAGAGGCCAGAGATGCTCGCCTTCTGGCTCCGCTCCGCTGGGAACTCCGTGACCTGGCCTCTCCTTTTTAGCTTTCTACAGATGTCTCGTTGACTCTGGAAGATTGGGCCTAGTGTGTACTCGGGTCAGGGATTGGACCACACAGCTGCAGGCTAGTAGACAGACGCGAAGAACTAGTCTGTCCTCGATTACACAAGGATTCGCATCTCTCGGAAAATGACGGACGAGGGCCGACTGCAATGGCAAGGGGACCATGACGAAATCAGGGCGCACGAGGAGAATGTGGGAGGACGACCAGGGAACAAGGGGACTAGGGAGACGAGAACAATAGGGCCAACACCATGAGGATACGGCGGGCCCTTGAGGATGAGCAGACACAACCAGCAAGCAGTATAAAGGAAGACTGCACTTTGAGAAGGATCCCAATCGTGTAGGGGGGCATGAAGGAAACCGAGCCACCGAGCCACAAAGACGCCACAACATGACAGTATGAAGATCAGATGGCTAACTTCCGGAATCGTGTCCACTGTCGGCTCCGATCAACCTGCATCCGCTCTCGTCATCTCTCCATTATCTTATGCTCCCTCTTTCCCTTCCTCACAACCACCACCACCACTTCTTCTCCTCGTCGTCCTCCTCCTGCTCCTGCACCTGCTCCTGCTCCTGCTCCTGCTCCTGCTCCTGCTCCTGCTCCTGCTCCTCCTCCTCCTCCTCCGCCTCCTCCTCCTCCTCCTCCTCCTCCTCCTCCTCCTCCTCTCTCCCTGGTCCTCTCTCGCCCCTCCTCCTCCTCCTCCTCCTCCTCCTTCTCCTCCTCCCTGCTTATCCGCCTCCTCCCCCTCCTCCTCCTCCTCTCCTCCTCCTTTTCCCTCGCTCCCTCCCTCCCTCCGATCCTCCGCCGTCTCTTCCTCCTCCTCCTCCTCCCCCTCCTCCTCCTCCTCTTCTCTTCCTCCTCCTCCTTCTCATCTCGTCTCATCTCATCTCATCTCATCTCATCCCATCTCATCCCATCTCATCTCATCTCCTCCTCCTCCCATTCCTCTCTCCACCCTCATCGCTCCTCGTTGTTGCACCACGCCAGCCTGAAGATACTCCGACGCTGAGGACGCTTCTGCTGAACAGTGGCTTGATGATGGGGATGGGGAGGAGTCCCCTCCCCGTCCCTCTCTGCTCCAACCCCGCCCCCGCTTCTTCCTTTTATCACCGGTCTCTCCGTCCACCTCCGACTCGACAGGACCCCGCCCGGAGATACGCCAGAGGTCCTCCCCAAAGAGCGGGGACGCTCCTCGAGGGAAAGGCCTGGGCGGAACCCCCACTCCACCAGGTAAGAGCGGGTCCCGAAGGACACCCGTCTTGGACCCTGGGCCCTTCCCCCCGGACCAGGTCTTCATGATGGGCTTGTTTTCCACCACCACCACCAGAAGTTTGAAGGGGAGGGGGTCCTCCTCCTCCTCCTGCTCCTCCTCCTCGTCCTTCACCTCCTTTCCCCCCTGCAACCTATGGTGGTGATGGGGGTGGTGGAGTCGGTCTGGTGACGGCCCAAGGCCCTGGGGAGGCCCCCTGGAGGGCGCAAGCGCCCACACAGCTCCAGGACACTTTTTCCCCCTCGAGACCCGGCTGCTTCGTGGCCATCGGCGCAGCGTCCTCAGCCAAACGAGCGGACCCAAGACAGAAGCGGGACACCAAGGCCGTCCCCCAAGAGCAGCTCTTCATCCAGGGTCGCTTCTTGCAGTCCTGGGGCCCGTGGCGGGCCCCAGAACTACCTCAAGCCCTGTTTTTCCTCAGGGCCCGCCTCCTCCGTGGCGAGCGTCGGAACCGCGAGTCGGATCGGGCCGGCCGAACCGAGGCCGAATCGGATCCGTCGTGTCGAGGGTGGAGGTGGGCCCCGAAAGGCGGGGCCGCGGCGAGGGGCGCGAGGTGCCTGGGGGGCCGGCGCGGGCGCAGGCGGCGGCCGCCTCCACCGCCTCGAAGTGGGGGTCGAAGCAGTCCGGCGTGTGGAAGCACCCGTAGGCGGTGACGCTCGTGGTCGAGGCCGTGCTGGTCGAGGAGGTGGTCCACGTGGTGGCGGTCTGGGGCCACGCCGCGGAGGCGCCGCAGGCGCTTCGCGCCGCGCGCGTGCGCCCACGGCTTCGGGCCCCAGGGCCAGCACGGGTCGGTCTGGCTCGAGGGAGGCAGCAGAAGGGGGTCGGCGGCTCTGGTCGTGAGCTCTTTGCGGCGCTGCATGTATGGGCGCAGCGTCGGATCTCAGGCCACCCTTTTGCCGCAAGGTGCGGGGGGGAGGGGGAGGGGAGGGGGAGGGGAGGGGAGGGGGAGGAGGAGGAGGAGGAGGAGGAGGAGGAGGAGGAGGAGGAGGAGGAGGAGGAGGAGGAGGAGGAGAGGAGGAGGAGGAGGAGGAGGAGGAGAGAAGGGGAGGGTCACAGGAGCATGTGCGGGAGGGGGGGCAGAGGAGGGCGGGAGGGCGGGCGGAAGCAGAGGAGGGGGGGGAGGGGGGAAGACGGGGGGCGGGGGAGAAGAGGGGAGGAGGAGTGGAGGAGAAGGAGGAGGAAAACGAGGGGGGGAAAAGGGGGGGGGAAAGAGGAAGTAGGAGGAGCGGAGGAGGAACAGAGGAGGATGACAAAGGGGGGATGAAAACGAGGGGGGAAGAGGAGTGGAGAAGGGGTGCGGCAGAAGGCGGCAGGAGAAGTCGGAGGAGCAAGGCAGCTGGTATAATCATGAGGAGCAGGAGGAGCACAGCGGTGGCAGCATGGTGGTAAGAGTGGCGAGGAGACGAGGAATATTGCGAAGAGAAGTAGGTGTGGGGGGTTCGGGAAGGGGGATGGGGGCGAAGGAGGGACGAGGGGGGAGGTGGAAGAGGGATATGGAGGGAGCGCTCATGTGAGGGAGGAAAGAGAAGGAGGAGGAGGAGGAGGAGGAGGAGGAGGAGGAGGAGGAGGAGGAGGAGGAGGAGGAGGGGGAAGAGGAGGGACGATAAGGAGGGACGATAAGGAGGAGCAGTAAGGGAGAACAAGAGAAGGATGAGAAGGACAGCGGGGGAGGAACAGGAGGGGGCAGGAAGGGGGGGAGGCGAATGGGGAGAAGGGAGGAGAAGGAGGAGGAGGAGGAGGAGGAGGAGGAGGAGGAGGGTGAATGGAGGGAGGAGGATTTGGGGAGACGCATGTGGATCCTGCCACTGGGGCATTCGGTGGAGATCCCGATGGGGCCACGAAGCGCTGTACTGGGTGGGGGAGACGCATGTGGACCCTGCCACTGGGGCCGTTGGAGGAGCTCGGTATGGGGCCACGAAGCGCTGCACTGGGTGGGGGAGACGCATGTGGACCCTGCCATTGGGGCCTTTGGAGGAGCTCCCTATGCGGCCGCGAAGCGCTATACCGAGCGGGGTGACGCATATGGACCCTGCCACTGGGACTCCCAGTGGGGCTCCCAATGGGGCCACGAAGCGCTCGCTGTACTGGATGGGGGAGGCGCGTCTGGACCCTGACACTGGGGCTTTCGGTGGAGCTCCCTAGGGGCCACGAAACGTGCAAGGGGTGTTCAGAACAGGTTGGTACGCGGAGAGCACATGCAAGGATGGAAGGAAAGGGGGGAGGGGGAGGAGAGGAGGAGAGACGGCGCGGGGTGCTGTCTCTTCAAACCGAAGACCCAACACCACGCGATGGTTGGGAACAGCATGTGGGGAAGTATCAGGAGGGAGCCGCTGTTCCTGTAAACTGGAGGCCAAGAACACAGTCTGAGCCCCAAGACCTTCCCTTGTACAGAAATAGTCCTGGCAACCCAACCAGATGCAATTGTGGGTACCGCAATTGTTAGCCCCGCCTTCGGTGGAGCCCCCCTGTGGGGCCACGAAACGCGTGAGGGGTGTGCCGAAATGGGTGCCATGGCGCCATGCGAACCCTGCCAGTGGGGACTTCGATGGAACTCCCTATGGGGCCCCGAAGCGTGTGAGGGGTGCGCCGAAATGGGGCGGGGCCGCCATGCGACCTTTGCCACTCGGGCCTTCGGTGGGCTCCCTATGGGGCCACGAAACGTGTGAGAGGTGCGCCGAAGTGGGCGGGGCCGCCATGCGACCTTTGCCACTGGGGCCTTCGTCGGAGCTCCCCATAGGGCCACGAAACGTGTGAGGGGTGCGCCGAAATGGGGCGGGGCCGCCATGTGAACTTTGCCACTGGGGCCTTCGGTGGAGCTCACTATGGGGCAGCAACACGTGTGAGGAGTGCGCCGAAGTGGGGCGGGGCCGCCATGCGAACTTTGCCACTGGGGCCTTCGGTGGGGCTCCCCATGTGGCCACGAAGCGTGTGAGGGGTGTGCCGAAATGGAGGAGGGAGGAGGAGGAGGAGGAGGAGGATGAGGAGGAAGAGAGGTGGGACGCGGGGCGCTGTCTCCTCAAAACGAGGACCCAACACCACAGGATGGTTGGGAACAAGGTGCGAGCCCCGGGAAGGGCACGCCAACTGAAAAACACAATGAGTACAAAAGGAACGATATCAGCACCAATCATCCGTTATAAACGTGAGCTCAACGGCAGCAACAACTAGCACGCCAACAACAACACCTCCAGCACCACCAACAACAATCACAACAACAACCAAACCAACAACAACACCACCGCCAACAACAACACCAACAACCGCAACCACAACAGCAGCAACACCACCAACACACACAGCCATAACCACAACCACAACACCAGCATCACTCATGTTGACATTGTTCGCTCTGATCTGCTCGTGTGCCAGTCAACACGTATATTCCGAACCCTCGGTGCGCGCCCTCTTCGTCTTCGACCGTACCCCCTCGGGGGTACATCTTCCTTACCTCCCACGTTCACTTAGCACAGCCCCTTAACACAAGGGAAGTTAATGGAACGGGGATTGAGACGGATGGAGCACGAGAGAGATTAGCAGGAGGAGAACCTGGGAGCAGGAAACACGTGGTAGAACCAGACGGGCAGATTGCGAGAAAGGCCAGAGCGAGAGCGTGATTCCTGGGTGTCGAGGGCGCGGTGCCTGAATAAATTGCGAGGAGGTCCCACGCGAGAGCGCGATTCCTACATACATTGTGATACTGTGAGGCTGTCCCCGCGAGAGCGCGATGTTAGAATACATTGTAAGGAAGTATCAGGGGGGAGTCGTTGTTGTTGCAGTTCGGGGCCCAACAACCTAGTTTGGTGACACCATACTTTCCCACATAAAAAGAAGTGTGAGACCCGAGGGGGGCAATTCAATTGAAAAATCAATTACACTCGAGAAAAAATCCAATCAGTGGATGGTTTGAAGTTCGTGATATGGATGTCGAGATCGATTGTGAGGCAGGTAATGGAACCGATAGTGGGATCGATAGTAAGGACGATGGTAAGGTCGATCGTGACACCGATGGTGAAGTCGATTCAGAGAGATCGATAGCGAGATCGATTGTGACATCGCTCGTGCGATCTACAGTGGGATCGATTGTGAGATCACTAGAGAGGTGGGTAAAGAGATCGATGGTGAGACTGGTCGACAACGAGATCGATCGAGAACCCAAGAACCCGGAAACCCGGGAACCCCGCCGCCCACCGAAATCGGTCCGGAACCAGCTACAGGGAACCCGGGAACCCAGAACCCGGGAACCCGGGAACCCGGCCGCCTACCGAAATCGGCCCGGAACTTTCGCCATATCTTTCAATCTCCGCTCGGACCCCTTCAGTGCAAGCACTGGTTGGGGAATGGTTACCAGGGGGGTCAACAATAATCATTTTCAGAAATTGGAAGTCAACAACATCAACAGCACCAATCCCTTTCAGACTGTTCGATCTTATCTGCTCGCGTGCCACTCATCACGTGTATCCCAGACCTTAAGTACCTGCCCTCTTCGTCTTCGTCCATTCCCCCTTGGGGGTATATCTTTCTCACCTGCAGCGTGGATGTCGTGCAGCCCCTACGGCACGGGAAGAAGAGGACGGGCAGAAGAAAGGGACTAGGGGAGGGAGAAGGATGGAGCACAAGAGAGAGAGAGAGAGTAGCAGGAGAGGGGCTGGGAGCAAAAAACACCAGGCAGAACATGACGGACAGACCGGGCGGGTAGACCCTAACGGGCGGTTTGGGAAGGCGGGCTCAGACGGCCAGGTCAAGCAGGCGGGTTGCTGAAGCATGTGTCCTGCATGAATCGCGAGGAAGTCTCAGACGATACAAATCCGACGACCCTGTCGGCGTGTGGAAGACGCATCCCGGTGTCGTCGTCGTCGTCGTCGTCGTCATCATCGTCGCCCGAAATAAAAGCAAATCGAACACGAAACATAAGGAAATCGCAGTCGTGGCGAAGCCCCTCCCTACCCTCCCCACCAGGGGGGGTGGGGGGTTGGGGGGGAGGGGGAAGGGGGAGGGTGCAGATACGCATCCCCCCGGGCGACCCTCTCCCTCCCTCTCCCCTCCCCCTCCCCCTACCCCCTCCTCCTCCTCCTCTTCCTCCTCCTCCTCCTCCTCCTCCTCCTCATCCTCATCCTCCTCGTCCCCTCTCGTTCCCCCTCCCCCTCCTCCTCCTCCTCCTCCTCCTCCTCCTCCTCCTCCTCCTCCTCCTCCTCCTCCTCCTCCTCCTCTCTCCTCCTCCTCCTCCTCCTCCTCCTCCTCCTCCTCCTCTCCCCTCCTCCTCCTCCCTCCTCCTCCTCCTCCTCCTCCTCCTCCTCCTCTCCTCCCCCCCTCCTCCTCCTCCTCCTCCTCCTCCTCCCTCCTCTCCCTCCTCCTCCTCCTCCTCTCCTCCTCCTCTTCCTCCTCCTCCTCCTCCTCCTCGTCCCCCTCTCGTTCCCCCTCCCTCCTCCTCCTCCCTCCTCCTCCTCCTCCTGTTCCTCCTCCTCCTCCCCCTCTCCTCTTCCTCCTCCTCTTCCTCCTCCTCCTCCTCCTCCCCTTCCTCCTCCTCCTCCTCCTCCTCCTCCTCCGCCTCCTCCTTCGCCACGTCGTCATTTACCTCCGACGTCTTATCACGCATCCCGTCACCCTCGAGGGCCGAGGTATCCATGGTCGGCGGCACTGGCCGTAAGGCCTCAGCAATAAGTCGTGAAGAAATCCACAGGAAGAGCAAGGTTCCTGAGTGTCGAGGG